ATTTTGGGATATTTTTGGGGTGATTTTGGGGGATTTTGGGGCTCTCACCGGGCACGTAGACCGAGGGGTTTTCGGACATCCCGGGCAGGGGTTGGTAGTCGTGGGGCCGCCGGATCTTCAGCGACTGCCCCTGGAAGATGATCCCGTCGAAGGCCATGGCCTGCGTCGTCTCGTCCACCGAGCGGAACTGGGGCAAAAAAACCAAAATTTGGGGTCGGGGGAACCGAAATTGGGGTCAGGGAGCCCGAAAATGGGCTCGGGGACCACGAAAATGGGGTTAGGGTGACCAAAAATGGGGTTAGGGTGACCAAAAATGGAGTTAGGCTGACCAAAAATGGGATTTGGGAGCCCAAAAATGTCAATTTTGGGGCCATTTTGGGGCAGGTTTTGGTGAGAATTTGTGAGAATTTTGGGGCCATTTTGGGGCAGGTTTTGGTGAGAATTTGTGAGAATTTTGGGGCAGGTTTTGGTGAGAATTTGTGAGAATTTGTGAGAATTTTGGGGCAGGTTTTGGTGAGAATTTGTGAGAATTTTGGGGCCATTTTGGGGCAGGTTTTGGTGAGAATTTTAGGAACTTTGGGACAGATTTGGTGACAGTTTGTGAGACTTTCTGTGAATTTTGGGACCATTTTGGGGCCATTTTGGGGCAGATTTTGGGGAGAATTTTGGGAACTTTGGGGCAGATTTTGGTGCCAATCTCTGACAATTTCTGTCCGTTCTGGGGCCGTTTTCTGGGTTTTTGGGGCCGTTTTTGGGGTTTTTGGGGCTGTTTTTGGGGTTTTTGTGGCCGTTTTTCGGGTTTTTGGGGCCGTTTTGGGTTTTTTGGGGCCGTTTTCTGGGTTTTTGGGGCCGTTTTTGGGGCTGTTTTCTGTGATTTTGGGGCCGTTTTCAGGGTTTTTGGGGCCATTTTTGGGGTTTTTGGGGCCGTTTTCTGGGTTTGTGGGGCCGTTTTCTGGGTTTTTAGGGCCATTTTTGGGGCTGTTTTCTGGGTTTTTGGGGCCGTTTTCAGGGTTTTTGGGGCTGTTTTCTGGGTTTTTGGGGCCATTTTTGGGGTTTTTGGGGCTGTTTTTGGGGTTTGTGGGGCCGTTTTCTGGGTTTTTGGGGCTGTTTTTGGGGTTTTTGGGGCCGTTTTCTGGGTTTTTAGGGCCATTTTTGGGGCTGTTTTCTGGGTTTTTGGGGCCATTTTTGGGGTTTCTGGGGCCGTTTTTGGGGTTTGTGGGGCCGTTTTCTGGGTTTTTGGGGCCGTTTTTGGGGTTTTTGGGGCCGTTTTTGGGGTTTGTGGGGCCGTTTTCTGGGTTTTTGGGGCCGTTTTTGGGGTTTTTGGGGCTGTTTTCTGGGTTTTTGGGGCCGTTTTCTGGGTTTTTAGGGCCATTTTTGGGGCTGTTTTCAGAGTTTTTGGGGTTGTTTTGGGGGTTGTTGGGGCTGTTTTTGCGTTTTTTGGGGCCATTTTGGGGTTTTTGGGGCCGTATTTGGGGCCATTATTGGGGTTTTTGGGGCCATTTTGGGGTTTTTGGGGCTGTTTTTGCATTTTTTGGGGCCGTTTTCGGGGTTTTTGGGGCTGTTTTTGCATTTTTTGGGGCCGTTTTCGGGGTTTTTGG